GAACATGTTGTTCTCCGCCACGGGCAACGATCGCTTTTTGACAGATGGGCGCATCACTTCTGGATGACTGCTCCATTATCATTATGATCTGAATTAGGATCTGTATACATTGGGATGTAGTCGAAATACCATTTTGGGCGAGTTTGTTCGCATGCCTTTCCTACAAACGCTCAATTACTGATAAGTTTGTTCTTACAGGGCCCAGACGCCCTTGCATCTTGAACCATTATATTCCCCCCAATAACTTTACGGATTGTAAAGAGCTCATGCGAATCTCTAGACGTTTGGTGTTCATGCTACTCTTGACGATTCTCGTCGTTGTAATCATACTGTTTCTGTGGTTATGGACGAGATACATCAAAGTCGAACAAGACGTCTACACAGTCATTTATAATGTTGGCAAGCTTCAAAGACCAGGAGTAAAAGATACCTTGTCGTCGTGGAACAAAGTCAGTTGACGCGTTATGCTAGATATTCCTCCTTGGCTCCCTAAATGGCGCTAGCCCTGACAAGGCTGAAGTCTATCTTCGGGTCTTCATCCTCGCTTGTGGTGGCGAATATGTGAGAGGACCGGGTTTTTGGTTGTCAGATTGGACAGTAGATGAACCTTACGAAAATATACGGTGTGGAATTCCTGATGTTCATGTCGTGGTCTATGACATCTTGTACACCTAATTTTATGAGTATTAGAATCAAATTCGCTAATTTCAGCTTAGGAGTCGTGTTGTAATTGGGTATCACAACCCAACTTTCAGGTGGCACGATGAGTACGACATAAGCCTCAGGTATGAGATATATTTCATTCTTTATTCTATGGTACTCAGAACCTTATATGCAGTTTCCCGTTTGGAACGTATTTTGATACCGTCCTTCATATTGAAAATACGAGAAACCGAAAGGCAGAGCTCGTCCCTGATCCAGGGTACAAGTACCCTTACGATGAGTATTCGGTTGCGCCATCCATCTTTCTCTACAATAATATAACGAACACGTCTCTCCCGTTCCTCGCATTTCCGGTCATCAATACTGCCAACAGCTTTATCTTTAGCAGTCGGGATATGGATCCTGTATACCCTTGCTCAGTGGAAAACCTCCCTATGATGGAATGCGGGGATGGGAGCATCTGGTTACAGCGCACAAGGAGCACAAAAACTATCGCGAACCTATCTCTCGTTATTGGTTGGTTACTCGTGCTGATGTCGCTCGCCCTCACAATATCAGTTCTATGCACGTATGGTTCAAGAGGCCGAAAGAAACGAGAATCCGAGAGAATTCCAGAGACGATACTCTTGTTCCCCATCGCCACCATCCTCGCCCTTCCAGCTCTTAGAGCTCTCTTTCCATCCGCGCCTCCCGTTGGTATGTCTAAGCACCGTATATTCACGGTTAAGAATGACTAAATGATTGTGTATACAGGAATTTTCTATGGTACACTTCCCTCGAACGGATTGGTACCCACTGCTCACTCCCTAATAGATCATATAGGACTGTATCCACAATTATTGATCATGATTGCATGCGGTCTTGTTATGCTACTGATGTTCCTCCTTGAGTGAGTACCCACCGCTGTCGAGATACTTGTTCTGAACGGCCCAATGTCCCACAGTGAATCGCAGAATCGACTGAGCAGATTCTGGTTTATCGGAAAGGATTTGATGGCTAACGTGCAAGAGTTACGACCCCGTGCTGGCATACTGCAATGGGCACGACGGTGATAGGCATACTCCTCTCGAACCTTTGGTAGTCTATGCCGCAAGGGTGATATATCTGGGTTGTAGAAGGTACAAAGGGCGATGGATTCTTGCTATCTGAAATTATTTAGATTCACATTCCAACCACGGCGGCGAGAAATGGATCCAAGTCTGATGGAAGTCGTGGATTGGGACGTGAAAATTAGTTTCTAATATGTAGAGAAAGATGATACATGGTATTATTCTCAAATTGTCTCTGCCTATCTACGACTAAGTAGATAGATCTTCAGTAGAAGACCATTCCAGGTACGTAAATGTGGAAAGATGGCCTAATGAAGGGACAGAGCCAGCTTCAACTTGATAGTTTCCTTCATGTTAGCTGTATCTGAAAGGCACGGGATGGGGAAGCATCTGGTTAGCTCTGGAAAGTGGGCAGAGAGTCTGGCCAACTGCCTCAATCCCGTAAAAAGCGCCTTTGCATAACGCACTTCGATGTCCCTACCTATATTCTATTTGAAGGTCCGTTTTGACAAATAAATTCGCCATGGTAGTCCCCACCGATCATGATGCTGTTTATTCACGGAATA